ACACATTTACTTTTATTATTCATGAAATGCTGCTCCTGGGAACAAGGAACCTATTGTAAACCCCCAAACACTGTTTCCGTCCCTTACATGCAGCCCTTCAGTACTAAAGGAAGAGAGGGAAAACAGTCCTTGGAGAATTCTTCTAGTTCTCTGGCACTTTGAGATTCTAATGAAATAGGGTGGCATCTTGTCCTAATTAGTAACAGTGGTTTTCTGAAGAGAAGGAGTATTGGGCGCTCTCTTAGTTTCATATTGATCGAGTCTGCTGGCAAGGAGAGAAGCTGTGTAAGGGCATTAATTTATGGCACACTTGCTTCCCCTCAGTATCCGTCGCCTCTTTCTGTGTGAGTGGCCAGCAAAAGGCTTGTGGATCCAGGGCTTTTACATGTCAAGTGGTGTGACTAATAAATAAAAAATGTGAACCTTCTGCCTTCTCTTTTTCTCCAGGCTTTAAACCATTTTTTATTTGTTTCACATTGATCCTTTTTTTAAAAAATCCCAAAGAGAAGCATGTATGCCAATCTTGTATGCCAGCCGTTAACCGACAGAGCAGAATTCCAGGAATTGCTGTTCCTGTTGAGATAATTTTTGCAGGCCAGAAACACAGCCTGGACAAATGCGAATAGGCTCTCCACCTTATAGGGCTGTCCCTTGGCTTCAGTCTCAGCTCGTCCCCTTACAGAACAGGCATCCACCTAAAGGTTGTACTGCAGCAGCACTCACTGGCTTTGTGGACAAGTTTAGCAGTTGCAGATTCTTTCCAAGCAAACGGATACTCAGTCATTAGTATGTGCTGTGTAAGTAATGAGCTGCTGCCCTGAATCTCTTTGGAATTTGGAGTATGCTGGTGGCATTAGAAGAACCACGTACCTTGAGGAATGAATGGAAATGGCATCTTGGACTTGAACAGGAAATCTCTAAACATAATTTAAGTAACTGAAGACTGAAGCCGTGTATTTATATATGTGCATGGAGATATCAGACAGCCTTAATTTCCCCCCAAGAATCTGGCACCTTATGGAATGTGTAACATTTTAAGCCTCTCAGGATTTCAGATTCCAGTGGGCCAGTTGTTTTAGGCTAGAATCTTGTGGCACTAAAGACTTTACTTTGGGATAGAATTTCATGTGCTAGAGTCCACCATTACACTGAATGAAGTGCATGCTTGGTTGGCAGGTGTATATACACGGGCACTGAGGGACAAAATTGTAAACAGTGTGGTCAAAAGACTTATTCCAGAATAAACCTGTTACTCTTTGAGGTACAGCAAGACTCCTTTTTGTTTGGTGTTTTAAAATGCATTTGAAGTTTCACAGTATTTGGGCAAGGGCTGGAAAGCAAAGACGAGGACAGCTTCCACATGGAGATGATTATCTGTGTAGCTCTCTTTGCAGAGGTATTCACAGTGGCAACAAGAGTGCTCACTTTCCTGACTCCGGCCATCATCCCACTGCTAATTGCCAATCATGGTTTTCATTACTAATTGTCATGCTTTTGCCAAGTCATGGAAGCTTCTTTGAAAGTTTTCAGCTGTCTTGCATGATTAGATCTTGTTTCCCTTCTGCAAGGTTCTCCAGAGAGGATTTATCTTGAAATTAAATAGATTGTCCTATAAAATGCAATTGAATTTTTGCACTAGTGAAGATGGCTGTGGGTATCTTTGGTGGTACGTCCTAACCTGCTTACCGAGGACATATGTATCACCCTGATTTTTGAAGTTCATTCTGTCCTCGCGGTCTCTATATATACCAGGGGCTTTGTTCATCCCATCAATAACCCATTCTTCTGAATCCACTTAAAGGTCATCCTTTGTGATGCAAATTACCATTCCTTGTTGCTTGTGAAATATGAGTGACTGAACTCTCTTCCGCACCCCAGAACACTTTCTTGTCAGAGGACTTCACCGTAACTCTCTATATGTGACTGCTTGTGGAGTTTAAGACCAGCAGCAAAATGCTTGTTCTCGTATAGCCTCTGCAAAACCATGCATTTAGCACCTGATCCTTCTGTGATGTAACACAGTTCCTTTAAGGTGGTGCTGTAAGGCATTTTAGGTCAGGTTGTTGCAGCAACAGGAAGGAAGGGCTTAGGCAAAGGTTGTTTATGTGAGACCTGGTATTAAAGCGGATTAAGTGTGATTTAGGCATGACCAAGAAGGTAGTTTTCATCCAGAAATCCATTGTAGCCTAATTTGTTTGGTGCTCGAGCTCACTTTTTCATTTTAGTCTCTAGTGGCTGTTAGCACTTCTGTGCTAACATCAGTTTGTTTATGTAAGGGCAGTGGGGGAGGGGGAGTACATTCCATTGTGCCCTGCCGTGAATGGATTATCCTCAAGACATAGGGGTGTCTTGGTGGGTACTGGAGACACTCCTCCTGAGAGCTTGCCTATGGGGTGAGATTATCACAGGGTGATGAATTGATTAAATCAGAACCTGTATTTAAAACATCCAGTCCCATTAAATGTTGTATTTGCATGTTTCTTCACATCACTTATAAGTATTATTCCCACTAGAATCAATACAGTTTTTAAAAGTCCACTCTGTGGTAAAATTACAGCTTTCAGGGTTGCCAGTCAGCCAGGATGGCCGGTCTTCAGGGCCCTTCCTTACCTTCCTCCCCAGCCCAGTCGCCTTTGGCCATTTCATATTGCACCAGAAATCACTGAATATCAGGAAAGGTCTTCTTCTACCTGGAATGCTGGTTTTGTTGTTTCATACTGTTCAGAGACTCAGTTATGAGGTGTTCACACTTTTAGGAAATTTGTGAAGATGTGAAATGAGCAGAAGCCCAGCAATTAAGATTTGGGAAAGAAAACTACACTGAAGCAGTTGAGCCGAGCAATTGGCAAAGAATAATATAAACACCAGGTAGACCTAATCTAGCAACAGTATGTTCAGGTGCAGTGAAGCCCCATGAATCAATGGTGCGTAAACTTATGCCACATTATAGTGCAGTGCAGAAAACTCCAGAAGCGTTTCCCTCACTTGTCAACTCCAGTAGTTCAGCTAAGATCATCATGGGAATTGGCCTTCCCCTCTTCCAGGGACTCCCCTCTTTAACAATGAACTACCATCTGTCACATCTGTTTATAGTAAGGCTTAACACATCTTGGTGTATAGTAAGGCTTAACACATCTTGTTGCCAGCTGCAAAATCACAGACTGAGTCCTTGCAATGGGACCCATCCCACCACAGCACACGGGCACTTACAGCAATAATGCACGGGCTACAAATCTCAGTACCCTTGCACAGTTGTGCCATCAAAGCCAGATGATTTGCCACAACTGCCAACCAATTCAGCTAGAGGGGGCCTCACTGCAGGAAGATTGTCTGAAAGCACTGGACTTAGGTGCCTGGGATCAAGATGTTGCAGTAGCTATGGGGGTTGCAGGTAGCTGTGCTTAGTCCAAAGCTTTGCTCAGTTTCGGATGATGTGTCAGCTGTATCCATTCCTGGGTCAGTCAGATGTCGATTCGCCACAGTGATCTATGCAGTAGGTAGTTCTAGACTGGACTACTGCAATGTGCTCTACTTGGGGCTAATCTTGAAGAGTGTTCGGGAGCTGCAACTAGTACAGGAGGCTACAGCTAAATGGTTGGTTGGGTGCAGCTATTGGGAGTTTGCTGTTAACATTGGGGTTGCAATGACATTGGCTAGGGATCCACTCCTGGGCCCAATTCAAGGTGTCGGTTTTGACCTTCAAAACTCTACATGGCTTGGAACCAGGGTATCTGAAGGACTGTCTTCTCCCATATGTTTCTGCCGGGGAATTCAGATCACAGGGAGAGGCCCTCCTGACGGTCCCATTAATCAATGAAGCTCATTTGGTGGGTACGCAAGAGAGGGCCTTTTCAAGGGCGGCCCCACGATTATGGAACAACCTCCCTTCACCTTTCGATCTTTAAGAGGCAACTGATAATAGTTTTATTTAGGACTACATTTGATTTAAGCAGTCCAAAATTGTGGTTTTAAGTTTTGGTTTTATATTTTTATATAATCTGTTTTATGTACTTTATTAATATGGCAGACTGCTTTGAGATCCATAAGGAAGAAGGGTGGCTATTAAATATTTTGAATAAAACACATCAAAACAAGGAAACTCCAAGACCAAAGGCCATGTTAATACCTTTTATTAAGGCCAACCAAAATAACCCAGAACAGTGTGCGAGCCTTTTGAGTTCTCTGGAACTCTTCACCAGGCTGGATGTTAAACAAAAGGGGAGGTGGGAAGGAGATGTTTCAGGCCATGATTTCAAGGCCTCTTGTCTGCATCCTACGTAGAATGCCAGGCAGACTTGAACAGTGTGTGTTGCTTTGTGGAACCACTATCAGGTTGCACCTTTCTTGTTCTGGGAAGAAAAATGCCTGCAGCAGAGTCTGCCACTGTTTGCATTACTGACATTCCAGAACATCAGGAGCATCAGGCTGCCCAGGCTTAACTGATTGAGTATGCGAAATATATACCTGTCACTGAAATCTCTACTATAAACTGATGTTCTCTGGGATTAATATGTTCAGAACATAGAGATTAGGTAAGGCAGTTGTCTTTATTGCTCCAATCTCTGTGTGCACAACCTTCAAAGGGTCATTCTTCTAGAGTGAAATATAGAGAGCAAGTTCTGAGCTGACATATAAGAAAGAAGAAGTGAGCAGTGACTCACAAAAGCTCATCCCCTGCCACATATTTTGTTAGTCTTCAAGGTGCTACTGGACTCTTGCTCTTTTCTACTGCTACAGGCAGACTCAACACGGCTACCCATCTTGATATAAAAAAGCATTCATGCTAATAGTACAAAGAGTTTACTATTCTCCATGTAGTATTATTCAGCAATGTCTTTTGCTTCTGCCTCTCTGAAAAGTATATTGGCAGGTCAGGTCCAAAGAGATCCCTCATTGGGTGAACCCTTGACAATAGATTTATGCTGCAAAGGCACCCACAAGAAATGTATCTGCTTTTGCTGAAATCCTTGCTGATGTTCCTGTCTTGTACCATGCAAAGAAGTCAGGGCTTTGTAAACAGCGATGGGTGTTGGTTAGCTCTTGCTGCTCCCACCAGTACATCTTGCCCAACACAGCAGGCCCAAGGGCATTGAGTGTGTCGCTGGCAGGGGAGCTTGAGGTGAAAAGTGAACAGAGCTACACCTGGCCTCTGCCAGACCTCAGCTAATGAAGTAGGCAGACCACATTGCAGAAGCAAAGAGGCTTCTGTCCCTTCTAGTGCTGTGAAAGAGCACAACACACAGCAGGTGCTATCTCAGCAGTACTGTACAACTTCTGCCTGCCCTAGAACTTCTGCCTGCCCTAGAACTTCTGCCTGCCCTAGAACTTCTTAAAGGGACAGAAGCCCTATCGTGGATTGAAAGGGAAGTGGTCATCCTGTCATGGATACCATAGGATGCATTTTTTGGCAAAACAGGCCGTGCTTTACATTAACAAATGGCAAGTGCTGTTTAGGGGGCTGTGCTAAGAACATGATTTCCTTGAAATGTTTGCATGCATAGTTTACTCAGCCTGTTTAGCAGATTTCAGTGACTTAATTGTTGACTCAGCCTAGCTTACTCACCCTCAATTTACCTAAAAACTATCTCTCAGTGTATGTGATGAATACTGCTACCAGCTGGGGGTTAAAGACTTCTGTCTTGTACCAACAGAACTTTGTCCAGTAGCAGGCTTCTCCTTTGCGCTATTTCTTACTGAAACTTTGGCACTCTGCCACTCTTTCAAAACGAATCCTATTGATTATCTGCCTATATGGTATATCTCTTACTATTCTATGTATAGAACAATCATGTCCTGTATGTTTGCCATAGCAGGCACCACCATGCCCAGGTTCAGGATGAGAGGGCCTCTTTGGCTGAGCTGTGCTTCTGTAGAGGTAGTGCAGAAATGATATTAAAGAGAGAATCAGCACAACAGCAGCAGTCTGATTGCTAATAGCTTCTACCTTAAATGTTTGACAATGTCTGAGGAAAACTCTTGCAGTGTCGGAGAGTGTTACGAAATTTCACAGACAGTTTTGGGGGAAACTACAGTTTGTTTTTTTAGATAATCCATTGTGTCTTTGTATGTGTAAAAATTGCAAGTCTTGGGGTACCCCTCTTTCTTCCCACCATCCAAACAATATCTTTTCCTATGTATTCATTTTCAATCCATACCAGGTCCCGCCCGTTGGCACGATCATTTTTCTTTGAAGCTGAGCTTCACATAGCTAAAAACTGTCTCTTTCCACTATCTGGTCAACATGGCAGCCACCTGGTATCATTACCATGCCCTCTGCGTCGGGCCGCCCAACTCTATCTGCATTTCTGTTTTCCGTAAGGTGATTTGCTGCATCACCCCCAGCATTGTTACCACTGTGAGGCAGGTAGTGATTGTCGCCAGGATGATCATCTGCTTCCTGTATGTCTGATTCTGCTTCCTCTGTTTCACTGCCACCTCCACCTGGAGGAGGCGGCTCTGGTTGTGAGGTCATCTTTTTTCCCCTATTCAAGCAGCAGTAGGAAACAATGGCCAGAAAGAGAGAGGACAACACAACCTCTGAGCCAGCCAGATAGAAGATAACATCATATTTCTTGAGTGCATCCACTAAGAGTCCTAGGAGTCAAGAAGAGTATAACATAGAGATATTATAATCGAACATATTTGGTTCCCTGTGAATGCTCAGAGTTTGCATTGTAGAAATTATAAATGTAAATTGGAGCCAAGCTTGGAATATTCTTTTAATAATAATTCACCCACTGAAATCACTGTGGCCCTACATTGTAGGATATATGGGAGGATCCATGGAGTAAATAGGTTGAACATATCGTTTTAATAATTGGGTTGGGAGCTAATTTGGGCTGCTCCAGCTTGTTGTTCCAATGTTTAGTTCACAACCCTCAATTCTAGGGTCCAGCCTCAAGTTCCTAGTTTAGCTCCATTTCCTATGCTACTGGAAGGAAAGCAAAATAGAAGTAGTCCTGGGAAATCAAGGAGTCTAAGAGCTGGGAAGCTCAGTGGCAAGAGAGGCCAAGTAAAGGAGACCTAAGAAACAGGGAGCCAGTGAGACAGAGGCTCTCTGTGTTATGGGTATCGATTTAATATTTTAACTTGAACTAACAAGTCAATTTATGTTGCTGTTGCGGGTATGAATGTAAGTTGTTGTATTCAGGAGTTACTATCTTGGAGCTTTCGCCATAAAAGAGGCATTATTTTGATATTTCAATGAACTAGCTTCCTGGTGTTTCCAATAGAGAGAATCTAGAACTATATTATCTGTTATGTTACTTAAAGCTAAAACTGGAAAATGTACCAGCTGATTCATTGGAGCTCCAGGCAGGATTAAAGGTTTGTACTCCATGCTAGTGGGTGTTTACCCTAAACCTTATCAGCAGTGCCTAAGAACTGTCCACTGTAGGGCATGCATTGTGAATATAATAGCAGTTATCTCTAGAAAATCTTTCAAGCTTCTTTCTTTATAATATTTCATGAAAAAAGTCATGGTCCAACCATCTTATAGTCCAATAGGTTGTCTGTTGACATGACTGTACAACAGAGTGAAATCACTATTGTAGATGTTTATAATACATGAACACTGCAATCAGACTTTTTCCTAGTAAAGCGGTTAATAACAAACCCAAAGCCACCACTAAACAAGGCTCCTATAATTAAGACTATTAGGATTTTATCTGCACGTACATTTAAAATGTCACATATGAACATTTTAAACTGTAATGTGGGAAATGGGAGTCTTACACGCCAGCTCCCCTCTATGTGTGCATGCAATGGCAAACATCTTTTGCTATCATAATGTGTGGAGCGGACCAAATGTTTCCCCATAGTCTGTGAGAAAAACAGAGAGGCAAGAAAGTTAGGATGAAAGAGGATTTAAAGAAAGATACGATGGATGTCTCACTGGCTCCCAGCATTATCAGTCACCACTTCTTAGCCCAACCAAGGAACCACAAGGAAACTAAGCAGGCAAGTAGGAACATGCCCCTTTCTTAGTAAACTCCTATACCACTTGAGGGATGCTATATACATGGGTAATATGCCAAGGGATATCTAGTTGCAAGCTTGCGATGTACTATCTTGTAAGTCAATAATTATACTGAGATGATAGAGGCCATCATGTTAATTGGGTCTGGCTTTGAGCTGAGAGAGAATAATCTGTGAAACATACGGAAATTACACTAACTAGCAGAAAGGTACTATGGCTCAGGGGTAGAGCATCTGCTTTGCATGAAGGACACTGGTTCAATCCCTGGTAGTTTCAGTTTGTAGTAGTATGTGACGTGAAAGACTTCTGCCAGAGATCCTGGAGATACTCTGCCAGTAAGAGTAAAGACTACCGACCTTTAAATACAAATGGTCTGACTTAATATAAGGCAGCTTCATGCATATTCAGAAAAATCCTGTAATTTATTCATAAATGATCTGGTACTAGGGGTGAGTAGTGTAGTGGCTACGTCTGCAGAGAACACTGGATGATTCAAGATGGTGAAAACCAAGGCTGACTGTGAAGAGCTCCAAGAAGGCCTCAGCAAACTGGTTGAGTGGGTGACAATGTGGCAAATGAAGTTCAATGCTGGTAAGTGTAAGGTGATGCACATTGGGACAAAAAAAATCCCAGCTTCAAGTATGGGCTAATGGGATCTGAACTTGCTGAGACTGAGAGGGGAAATGATCTTGGGGTTTTAGTGGATAGCTCAATGAAAGTGTCAGCCCAGTGTGCTGCAGCAGTGAAAAAGGCAAACTCTGTGTTAGGGATTATTAGGAAAGGGGTTGAAATAAAACAGCCAATATTGTAATGCCCCTGTATAGATCTATGGTGCAGCCTCATTTGGGATACTGTGTACAGTTCTATTCACCTTATCTCCAAAAGGACATTGCAGAGCTGGAAACACTACAGAGGAGGGCAACCAAGATGATGAGGGGGTTGGAATCCTTTCCCTATGAGGAAAGGCTGAAGGGTCTGGACTTTTCGCTTTAAAAAAGAGACAACTGAGGAGGGACATAATAGAGGTGTATAAAATTATGCATGAGGTGGAGAGAGTTGACAAATTGTTCTCCCTCTCCCAAAATACTAGAACTTGAGGGCATCCAATGAAGCCGATGGGCAGTAGGTTCAGGACACACAAAAGGAAATGGTACTTTACACAGAGTGATTAAAATGTGGAATTTGCTGCCAGAGGATGTATTGATGGCTACAGGAATAAACAGCTTTAAAAGGGGATTAGACAGATTAATAGAAGATAAGTCTATCAGTGGCTGCTAGCCATGGTGATGGAGGGAAACCTCCACATTCAGAGGCACTAAACCTCAGAGTCCCAGAGCCAGGAGGCAACATCAGGGGAAGGCCTCGGCCTCTATGCCCTGTTGTTGGCTGTCCAGAGGAACTGGTTGGCCACTGTGTGAGACAGGATGTTGAACTAGATGTACCATTGGTCTGATCCAGCAGGGCTGTTCTTAGAGATGTGAAGGCCCCGGGGAAAAAACGGAAAAATTAGGGAAAAAATGTTTTTCCCCGTTTTTTTCCTGAAGCCTTTTTTGTTTTTTTCCAAAAAATTGAAAAAATTGAAAAAAGAAAAGAAAAGAAAAAATTGATTATGGAATGTTTTATTTTAACATGATGAATAAAATATTTTAAGACAAGGTGTTCAAATATTTTCCAAATATTTTCTAAAATATATATATTTGGTATCATTTTGATCTAATTTCTGTGCACTGAGGACAAGCAAGTCCTAGGTTACAAACTGAACTCTCCAATGCAAGAACAAGATGCATTTCTTCCTTTAGGAGGTGCTATTGTCAGAATAAAATTAAAAGGTTTCAGTTTTGTTTTTGCATGTGGGTGGGTATTCTGTTTGTAATAATTGTTTGGATACACTATTTTTAATATGCTAGTTGTGATAATTTCATGCCAAGTAAAAATGTCCATAGTCATATTTTATGTTCCTAAAGTAACAGAATGACTTTCAATCTAGAAAGGACAAAAAAAATGCTAATGTAGCATTTTTTAAAAAAAATTCCGAAAATTTTATTTTTTTTCCGGAAAAAAACTGGGGAAAAACCCAGGTTTTTTCCCGAGCTTCAAAATTTCCAGAAATTTTACATCTCTAGCTGTTCTTATGTTCTGTACATAAATGCTTTCTGGCATTTTTCAGAATGAGACCTAAGCCTTCCAGGAAGCCACACCTCTGGCCTGAAAGCCCTGCTCCCTCATCACGGTTCCCGTGAGTTGTTCAGTAGTGAGGGATGGGCATTCTGCGCATTGTCAAAGCCATTCTCTTCGTTACCTTGTGTGTTTTGGGACAGAACTATGGCTTGGAAACAGGCTGTTGGTCCATACCTTGAAAAGCCCTACCACAAATCTAAACTCTGCACTAAAGGGATTTAAGGGGGGGAGAAGTATCCAAGACTTACCTGCAGAAGGAGGTCCAATGAGCACAGCAAAGGCCTCGATGAGCAGCACCAGCCCAATGGCGCTGGAGAACTTCTGTGACCCGATGATGGCCATGAGGACCTCAAACTGCAGTGCTCCCACCATCCCATAGGATATGCCAAAGAAGATACAGAAGATGATGAGGGATGAGTAGGTGTTGGCCCTGGCACTGAGTATATCTGTCAGGCCATTGAACAGCATAGCAAAGCTGAACAGGTAAGTGACGTGGGGGCGCACCCACTTAAGTCCAGCCACCATGCCACAGGATGGGCGGGCAAAAATATCTATGAAACCAATTATGGACAACAAGAAAGCAGCTTCTTTGTCCGGCACTCCTATGTCTTTGGCGTAGTTGACGAGCAATATTGGGGGCACAAAGAGGCCCAGCACCATGATGAATTTGGCAATGGCATAAATGACGAATCCCCGGTTTTTGAAGATAGAAAAATCTAACAACTTTTTCTTTTTCTTGTGCTTTTTCTTCTTGGCTTTCTTTGACTTCTTGGTGCTTTCCGTGGTGCTGATGACCTCTTCTGCCCTCCCTCCCATCGGGAGCATTTCTTTCACTTCATATTTGTCCTGGGTTTTCTCTCTCTTCTTCATACTGACCTCCAGAGGTCTCATGACTGCTCCACAGGTACAACAGTTGAGCAGCAAGCCCCCCATAATGAGGAACCCCCCTCGCCAGCCAAACTTATCCAACAAGACTTGTCCTAGTGGAGAGAGGGCTGAAAGGAAAACGGGGCTCCCAGCCGCTGCAAGCCCATTGGCTAGAGGTCTGCGCTTGTCAAAGTAGGAGCCTAACATGATCAGAGAAGGCTGAAAGTTCAGAGACATGCCTAAACCTGTAGAATTGGAAAGAGATTATTTTAGAAGAACTCAATCCCATATGCGGCTTTCCTCAACTGTCCGCGAAGGAATTTGCTTCTGTTTGAATCTCACACTTCCATGCACTTTTCCTCTTAGCACTCTGCATTATTTAGACAATTATTTGAATGTACCTCTTAAAGCAGAATAAGAGGCAGTACCTCTTAAAATCAGGGGGAGTAGGTATAGTATCCAGTTAACCCTAGAATCCCTAGAGATAATTATGGATGTTTTTATCTGTCAGTTTTTCTCTCTCCATTTCTCATGTCTGCAATGTCAGTGTAATTTCAAAATAGTAAGAAGCCCAGTAGCACCTTTAAGACTAACAAACTTTATTGTAGCATAAGCTTTCAAGAAACACAGCTCTCTTTGTCAGATGCATCTGACAAAGAGAGCTGCGTTTCTCAAAAGCTTATACTACAATAAAGTTTGTTAGTCTGACTCTTAAAGCTACTGGGCTTTTTTATTATTTTGCAGCAACAGACTAACACAGCCAGCTCCTCTGGATCAATGTAATTTCAGTTAGGGATGTAATTTGATTTCAAAATGCCTCTTATCTGCTTTCCAGGCTACAATATTCACATGTGTACACAGATAGCATGAGGCTCAAAGGCATGTACGTGAAAATGTTCAGTGCACTGCGGACCCTTCCCTCCCACATTCCTACAGTCATTCTCCTGTTGGTTGCTTTTGGATGCACACTGTATATGATCCAGCAGTTCTTCCCCTATTTACAAACACTAACCTGTGAGCATGCCAGCCGTCAAATACAGCTCAATAATATTTGTTGTGAAGGAGGCCAGAATCATTCCTGAGGAAGCCAGGAGCCCCCCCACAAGCATCACCGGCCGGCAGCCGAACTGGTTCACCATAATGCTGCATGCAGGTCCTAAAGAGAATCCAAGAAATTGGGGTGGGGGAGCCATTAAATATCAGTGGTGGACAGTTGAAACAAATTGTCTGCCTGGTATTATAGAGCAAATATACTGGGATGCAACAAACTACTGTGAGCAGCAGAAGATGTCCTGGCCACCCCCTTGAATGTTTTATTTGCTGTACAGGCATTGCAGCCTTGGACCACACTATGACTCAGGTGGAATTGTGATCTGGAAACTTCAGGGGTCAAAAATTAAGCAATAAAAAAGAACAAGAAGCACACAAGAAGCTGTGGGTGGCCGGAGAATGAAGAGCACAACTTGCCGCCCCTTGCTTAGTCGGCTGGTAGGCACAAAAGAGGATTTCGGGACAGGAAGAAGCTTTGTTGTGCTTCTTTATGGTCCGTTTTAGTGGACTGGAGGGATGAAAGCAGAAATCATTTTAAATAACATAGCCCACAAAAGAGGAAGACGTGTAGGCTACTTCATGGAGGAAAGGGAGATCAGTACAATTCAACCAATTTTAGACAAACCAGGAAGATCTACATTGTTAGCTTCATAGAGCATCATTCATTCATTTCTGGCCCCGGTCACACGGGCAGGAAACTGCGGGGGGGAAGCGTGGCTGTTTGCCCTGGGGCAAACTAACACGCAGTAAAGCGATCATACCTCCTGTGGAGGTTCTGTGGTTACGGAGAGGCGTCGATCACAACACATGCCTGCGCGTAACGAAGAAGCGCGCGGCGCGGCGAACTAGTTTTCTTTTTTTGTGTTCACTACGAATGCGCATGCTCCGTTGGGTGCATGTGCGCAACCATGGGGACGTGGGGAAAAAAAAAACCTTTTTCACAAGGGGACATGGGCGGGCGCCGGATGCCACCGGAAACGCGATCAGACGCCTGCCCTTGCCCCGCAGTTTCCGGAAACTAGTACCTCCGAGGTACTAGTTTTTTGCTGCGCGGTTTCGGGAGGAAGCCTCGGTTGTGCCACAGAAGCGCTACGCTCCCCAGATGTGCTGGTGAGATCGCGCCCGGAAACTCCGCCTGTCTTCCGTATCTCTTGCGTGGCTAATGGAGAAGAATAATGGAGTAGAATCTGACCCCTGACTGAGGGTTTATACGTCAAAGGACTGCCCTTCTCCTCTTCATCTCGGTCAATACAATTACGATCCGTAATGTCACAGAATGTTCAGCACCATCCACATTTTTTGTGATGGGGGTTGGAAGTCTATTAGGTTAGCTTCCCTCCTCACTCAGGACCTAGGGGAGAAAGTGCTGGGTACTGCAGGGTCTAGGAAAATAGGTTAGCTGGAGTTAACAAGGGAAGGATTTCTGCCAGTACCTAGAGGAGGACTGAATGTTGCATTCACTTAACAATAACCAGAGAGTGCTCTGGCTGAAGGTCTCCCGCACTGCATATGTTTTGTAAGCATACAGAAGTGGTTCCATAGTACTGGTGGCCTCCTTACCTGTTCCATACAGCATAGCCAGCATGATAGATGAGATCCAGGCTGTGTCACTGTAGCCCACGTGGAAGTCATACATCAGCTCCTTGAAATAGACACTCACTGCCTTTGGAAAGGCATAGGAAAAGCCAGTGATGACGAAGCAACCCAGCAGCACAATCCAGCCCCAGCCTCCATCGGGGGGCTTCATTTTTTCAGGCACGTGGCCCGTCTCTGCATCGGCCCTGCCCATTGTCTAAGCTAAGAGAGGAACCAAAAAGTGAACTGGCTTTGTATGCAGCAGAGACAGAAGGAAGACTGTTGTAGCAACAGAAGAGCATAAAAGACACAAATACAAACTTCCAGCTACCATCTGCGTAACCTTTGCAGCTTGCTTTCTGTTCATACATTTCTACGTCTTTCCTCCACCTTGAACTTGTGGCAGAATAAAAGTTATGTTGGAAGGCTTGCAAACATGCAAACGGCAAAGCAGGGAAAATGTCAGAAATGTTTAAAACGAGTTCAGCTGCTATGAGAGAAAAACAAAGCAATTGGGAAGGGGCGTCAGTGGAGCAAAGCTTCATAGCTCCAAGAAGCATAGCTTTTGCTCCTGTAAGTATATGAAGCTGCCTTATATACCAAGTCAGACTAGTCGGTCCGTCTGCTTAGTATTGTCTGCTCAGTTGAGCAGTAGCTCTCCAAGGTCTCAGGCAGAGCAACGTTTTGCTCAACACCTGCCTTCTTTACCTGAGACCTTCTGCATGCAAAGCATGTACATGACCTTCCTCTCCCTTCTTTCTCCTTTGATAGTCCATTTCACTATCATGGTGAACAGCTATGCTCTATGACTGGTCTAATTTTCTGCCATCAAAACCATGTTCACCAGAAGACGTCTACACCGGGCAGTGACGGCGCATGCAATTAAATGAATATATGTTGTCTTCCCTATCCCCTACAAACATTGTTAGTCCCTTGTCTATATTGAGTAACTGTACATCACTTTGAGCCCACTGGGGAAAGCAATTAATAAATGGAAAGTATTATTATTATTATTATTATTATTATTATTATTATTATTATTATTATTATTATTAAACAGATCTTGTTGCAGCAAATTTCAGGCATTCCATTTTCCATGTTAATGTGAAGAAGTAGGGGAGTTTTTTTGTGTCTTCTGACTCGATACTGATCAGTTTTCCAGAAGTCCCCTACCCTGAGTTACTGGAGCTTTTTTCAATTTTTTCCCCCATATGGCTATTGAATATCAGAACAATATACTGTGAAAATAGAACAGGTTCTTCTCAGCTTTAATTCTTTTTAAAAAGCTTCTAGGCCCTTCCATTGCAGAGATTCGCCTTTTGCCCTTATTCCTTTGCAACAGTAGGGGCCAGAGACTTACTCTGTTTTACAATGAAATCTGATAATTCAGATAACCTATTATGTATGTTGTTATCACAGTTTATTGATATAACAAGATTCAATTGCCAATTTAAAAAACAATCCCAACCCAAAAAGTCTCTTGGGGGAATGGGGGGGAATTCCCTTTGCGGGAATGGCCACTACAGGGTCAGGGGAAATGGTTGCAATGTGGGATGGAAAATCTGGACTTTCCTACCCATATGGTAGCTATCCAGGCTTTACTGCAGGTTTTCCGAAACTTCACAGCAAAGCAAGTTGGAGACAAGCTGGAGAAATCACAGGAGGTGCACAAATACTCCATGATGATGGGGGGAAGCTGGGGGGAGAACCTGCTTCCCAACAGCACTGAACTCAGATGGGGGCAGATAACCCATTTGCATGACCGGAGGGGGGAAAAAGTTTGTCTGTATCCTGTCACCAAACCATGCATAATTTTGTAACCTTCTATCATGCCTCTGCTCAGCCATGTTAACTTCTAAATTAAAAATCCAAAATGCTTTAGTGTTATCAAACAGAAGGTGCTCCACACCCTTGATCATTTTGATTCCCCTTGTCTGCACCTTTTTTCATTGTTACAATATCCTTTGCAGCTGGGGTAACTGGAACGGAACCCACTATTCCAAAGGCAACAGTGGGATAGATTTACAGGAAGACTATTATGGCCATTTATTTTTCAGTTCCTTTCCTTAGGATGGAATTTGCCTTTTTCATTGCTGCTGACCATGAGTGGCCATTTTCATTGATCTAGCCATCCTGACTCCCTGATTTTCTCCTTGGCTAGTCACTGCCAGTTCAGACCCTCACCTGTGTATACGTGAAGCTTAGAATTTTTGCCCTAATGTGCACCACTTCACTTTCCATTTACTTACATTGAATCACGTGTGCTGCTTCATTGGCCGTTCATACAGCTTATAGTCACTGATGGAACTATCTTTTTTCTTTTCCTCCTTTGAGCAGGGGTCATTTGGGGGGGGGACGCGGGGGGACGCCATCCCCCCGGGTGAGGTGCAGGAGGGCGGGGCCTGGAGCTCCCTGTTGGTGCCCACTGGAGGTCGCCGCCGGCTGTGGGGAGGACACACTTCCGGTGATGTCAGGGGGTGTGGCATATGCTAATGAGTTATGCTAATGAGTCCCCCTAGCTCTTTTTCTACGAAATGACCCCTGCCTTTGAGTATCATTGAACCTAGTAGCCATTGGTCATTATAATGCCACTATAGCAGCAGGTTCCATCAATGGGTGAAGCAGTGCGGCAGAAATGCTCTCGGGTTTGTTGGACAGCAACTTTCACCCACAAAGCTGCAAGTACTAATCCGCATTGTTTGTAAAAACTGTACATCCTTGGGAAACTTTTCCACAACGCAGCACATGCAAGGTTTACTGACATACAGTGAAGAAACATTTGCTTTTATTTACATAGTAAGAAGCAAGGCATTTCATTGCATGTTTCTAGGCATATGTTTTCCCCTGGACTATGTGAAGAGATAACATGATACAGTATACTCCCTCAAAGATGGCGGAGAGGGCTAGGCTGTGTTTTCTGGTCTTTCCCTGGGATTGCAGACTACTTTCATAATTTCCTTTCTTTCACTTTACTATTCCACTCTTTGTACTTTGCATTTAGTCCTTGAAATGGATTTATTTCAAATGTGAATATCCCACTGCCTCAGTAAAACATTCTTGAAGCAGTTTACAGCCTTTAGATGCACACACACACCAGATACAAACCAACAGCATAAAAATGGAGTAGAATGCGTTTAAAAGTAGCTAATTAAGCAGAACAAAAAAAAATTAAGCAGAACAAAAATACAAAAATTCTGAAAGCTGAGGATTATAGAAACAGCAGCACTCAGTTTAAACTCACCCATAACTAAGCAGAGACAAAACCTTTACAGGGTGGGGTATATAATTATACAAAGGCACAGGAAATAAAAAAATGTTTTCATCTGGCAAAGGGTTGCATATTTTGTACAACCAGGCCTCTGTGTGGAGGGACCTGCAGAATCTTGTGGGTCACAAGAGAGAAGACCCCACCTCTGATTCTCACCCACCTTGCTTCAAAAAAGTGGAAGCGCACAGAAGAGGACCTTCAATGATGAGCCAGTTCATATTAGAGAAGATGATCCTTCCAAGTTGTAAACCTCAATAGGGGGGGGGGGGGGGGGAGGACAGACTGTGATTTGCTGGGAATGGCCAGTAGCATCAGCTTGGCATGCACACGGTCTCAGGTTTAAAACCCCAGCATCTCCAGTTTTAAAAGACCAGGCGGTAGTGATGTGAAAGACCTCTGCATGAGGCACCACTGCTGCCAGTCAAAGTAGACGTTACTGACCTTGATAGACCAAGGGGCTGACTCAGTATGAAACATTTTAATGTGTTCTTGCGCTAAGTGGTTTTTAGCACAATAAGGATATGCTGCTGTAATGCAGAAGAAGCAATAGCTAATTTTTCTAAAAAGTCTACTCCCACACACATGCACGCACACTTGCAGTAGCCACAAATACTGTGGAACATTTATAAAGGAAACAAGTCCTGCAAAGGCACATGCCAGACAGATTACTGATCTGCTTGTTTTGTGCCATGGCCAAGAACAGTAGAAAAATATGGGCGCAAACAGGAGACTGAGAGGAGGGTAGCAAGGGGGTCTCAAACCCTTAAGCTGGTCAAGAATGTTAGCAATGGCCAACCTAGAGCTTGTTTCCAACACAAACTGGAGTGCTGGTCGTTCATGACCTTTGCGAGACTAAGCACCTCAGCCACAGTGAAGTTTTTTTAAAAAATAATATTAGTTATGTAGCTTAATCCTACAGGCCTGTCGTAAGTCCCGTAACCATAGCAAGGCCATCAGGAATTGGCCCTGCTGTAGATGAAGTAGCTACAATGGTGAAGGCTGCATCATGTTGTGTCACTCTAGGATTCTTGTAAAAATGTGTCACACTAGGACTATTGTACTTGATTCTTAGGTGATTTGACAGCAGAGCTAGATCATGAAACGATGAGGTTAGTTTCTGCAGTGGATAAAGAGTAGTATGTCCTTTTGATAAATATTAATTAAGCCAAACAGATGTTTGTTTTCCCTTGTATCTTGTTAAAGGCACTTAATACATTAAAGACTGGAGAGTCAGTTTGGTGTAGTGGTTAAGTGTGCGGACTCTAATCTGGGAGAACCGGGTTTGATTCCCCACTCCTCCACTCGCACCTGCTGATGTGACCTTGGGTCAGTCACAAGCTCTGGCACAGCTGTCCTTGAAAAAGAGCAGTTTTTGGGTAGTGAAGGGTGGGGTATGAATCCAATCTCCTCCTCCTCCTCCTCCTCCTCCTTCTTCTTCCAACCAAGGATTTGCAGGGACATGATAAGAAGCACCTGAACTACATGACAAGATGCTCTGCAGAAACAGTTCGACTTCACAACTTCAGCCACCATTTAGAATTATCTCCATGTGGCAGCCATGGCAACTTAACTCGTCTTAGAATCTTGAGAACTTTTAAGTTTTGAATATTAATGTTTCTAGCCCTCATGGCTACCGAGACAAGCTTAGAAACATTATGCTTATGCTTTACTCTGCACTTAGGGCTTCTCTGAAATCCAAAGGCTCTGGGCACATAACAACAAGCAATGAATATAAAGTAACGTTGGAGATAAAATGTAAGATTAGCCCCAAAAGCCAGCCAAAGAAAGAGATTTTAGAACCACTTTTAAAAACACGCTTTGAGACTGTAGATCTCCAGAGGGGATGAATTCTACAGCTGTAGGGCAGCCATGAAGCTGCTTCCCTGCACGCCGTTTTAGTACTGATTTAAAGTATCAACAACTAATCTATTTATTTATTTGGATAT